TCTACCAGTCCAGATTAAGATTTTATTAATTCATGTTAATTTTGCTGACAAGGTGACTTAGTTAGTTTAGTAAAAATAAGGCTGAATTGACATTAGAATTTGCCTAAACCCTAACCTAGAAGCTTACCGACCCACCTACGGATTATTTTTTTATAAAAAAATAATTATAACTCCTTTTATGAACGTGAGCAGACCCCAGTATACCTAACTTCACAATGAGTATATATTAATATTTTAAGAATTTTTGGAATACGTGTGTAGTAGAACTTTTGACTTAAAGTAGAAAGATCAGAAAATAGCTTAGTTATGAATACATCTCATATTTGCACTAGCATATTCATGCATTCATACACAATTTTGGCATGTCATTTATAACATAAATGATTCCATTTTAGAATAGATATACCGGCCAGTTAGTGAGGCCGACAGGATTAATTTTGAGCACACACAGTATTAGCAGAGGTGAGTGGTCTTTCTCCTAAACTCAGTATTTTTATAAGACAACAAAACTAATAGTTTTCTTACAAATAAATATTTTATTTCAAAACCAAAGGTTTTATTTTTCTAGAAATACTTTTCAGTTTATATGCTATAATTACTCTGCTAAGTGAAATAGAAACAGGAATCTCATTTTATGCTGTATGTTATGTATATAAGTGTTGCAATTCACTCGGATAATTCGCTGGGTAGTCATGTTACTGTGGCAGTACTGCACGGATTATTTGCCCAATGGGGCCTTTAGACACCAATAAGCCATGTGTTTTCGTCCATCGGGGTGGTGTCCTATGGAACGAGTCTCATGGCTAGTAGCACTTAGTGGATTCTCATTATGTTATGTTTATCTCTACGTGTACGTCAGACCTCAATTTATTTATGGAGCTGTTATGTTTTTGCTTCCATCCTTAACTCATTTATAACATTTTCCTATGGTTGGATCTGCACGCTCAATGGGTGAATTACCTTTGTTTCTAAATTTTGATCAATGAATTTTATCTCACGATATGTTATTCTATATTAGCTATGCTAGTTTTATGAACTATTTTTATTTATAATATTATGCAACATATTCCTGTTTCACTAGTTTTAGTTGGAGGACTATTCACTGGGATGCAAGTCTCACCACTTATTTATTTTTCAGGTTTCAACATTAGAGACTTGTAGATGCATCACGTGCATCCAGTATAGCAGCATTTCGAGTCTAGAGAGGTTGGGTGCCACTCATGTTAATAGTGGCTGGTTTGGATTATTGCTTGAGGAGTGAAAGTTAAATAGTTATATTATATGTAGATATTATTTTGGAGAAGAGAAGTTACATAAAGTAATTATGTTTTTAGTTATAATAATGACTTAATTTTTCAGTTATGTTTTGTCAGATGATGTTATATTATTCAATTATTTGAATGTAAGTTATACATCAGACTCAGCAAGTATGATAATCGAATAAGGTTTGGCCTTCTCCGGTAAATTTCGGGTATCTGAGGTTGCTAATCCCTATTCCACTATCACACCTCGCTCAAGTTATGGGGTGGGATGTAACAATTAGTGTTATTAGGGCAGTATTAAGATATTTAGGGAGTCAGTGTTAATAAGTTTTATAGGAAAAGTTACGCACATTTAGGGCACGTGTATTACATTACTACGTGTTACGTTGTATCAGGTATTTGTACTAATCATGGTGAATACTAAGAGAACCTCAGGGAGTGCTCATACTGGCTAGAGTAGGGCCAATAGAGGTAGAGCAGACCGACCTCTTTGGGAGATATCTAGCATTTCATCCCCTGCCCTAGTAGCAGCAGGTGCATCACATATGCATGATTCATTGGCACCACATCCCGTACCTGAGATACCTACACCTGTACCTTTAGTTCAGCCACAACCAGCTATTGTGCAACCAGCAGAGGTGGCTATGATGGCAGCTCTTGTAAAATGAACCACTGTGGCATCTACTTCCAATTTTTAGATGTAGAGGTATAAAAAAGTAAAGATATTGGAAAAAGTTAAGAAGTTGGGAGCTACAGAATTTGAAGGTACTACAGATCCATTACAAGCAGAGTTGTGGCTTAAAAAGATGGAAAGAATTTTCAATTTGATAAGTTGCACAAATAAAGAGAGAGTGTAGAATGCAGCTTTTCTTTTAGAAGGCCAAGCTGAGTAGTGGTGGACATCCTATACCACTAGACAACTTGCAGGTAAGGCACTCACTTGGGAGGAATTCAAGACAGAGTTTAATCGGCAGTATTTTCAAGCCGTTTATCAAGACAGAAAGAGGGAGAAGTTTTTAGATCTTAAACAATGAAACATGTCAGTGGTCAACTATAAGGCCAAATTTACTAAGCTTTCCAAGTTTGCCTTACCCCTGGTGACACAAGAAATAAAGAAGTGTAGATTCTTTGAGTGGAGACTTAAGTTGGAAATCAAGGCAAAAACCTAGATGCAACCATATTCTGATTTTGCAGGCTTGGTAGAATGTGCTTATAAGACAGAGGACATTGAAGAGGACTTTGCGAGTAGGAGGCAAGAAAGACTCTAGTAACGAGCAATGGGAGGGTCAATCAGTAAAGGTAATAGTCAGCACCGAAAGAGGCCTTCCCAACCTATAGCATCTAGTAAGGGAGGAGAGGTATCAATGGCAATAGAAATAAGGCCAGCATATTTTTCTAGTCCAAGAGAGCGAGGGCCCGACTGAGACTCGAGTTAGTGGTACTAGGTGGACAAGGTGCAGAAGTGGGATCAGCAGAGCTAGTGTTAGCAGGACTAACGTTTCAACAATGAGCCCATCAAAGAAGATTCAGCACCCATAGTACTCTAAATATGGTAAATTTCACCCAGGCGAGTGCCTTCAGGGATTAAAGTATGTTACCGATGTGGTCAGCCAGGGTATATGCAGAAAGTATGTCCTATGGGAAAAAGATCCCAAATGAGGGGAGGTAGTCCACAGGATAGCAAGGCAGGAGTTAGCATGAGTGGACAGGGGTCCACTCTAGACAGACACAGTGTAGAAGCTCAAGTTTATGCTATGATAGACCCGGAGGCTAGGGCGACACCAAACATAGTACTGGGTATGTTACTTATTTTTGACACTCATGCATATGTTTTAATAGACTTAGGTGCTACACATTCTTTCATCTTATCTCCATTTGCTGCAAGAATTGGATTAAAAGCTAAACCTTTAGAACAACATATAACCGTATCCACCCTAGTGGGGAGTAGTTTTATTGTGAGACATGTATATAGAAAGTGTAAAGTGAAAATAGCAGGCACTGAGTTGATGCTAGACTTACTCTATATAGAGATGTATGATTTTGATGCTATTTTTGGGATGGATTGGTTGTCTATGTACAAGGTTAAAGTAGACTGTTTTAAAAAGAAGGTATTATTGCAGTTAGGTGATGGCAGGAAAGTCTGTTTTGTGGGAGAGCATTATATACTCCGTATTTGTCTTGTTTCAGCCATGACTACTCAGAGATTGCTAAGGAAAGGATGCGAAGCTTATTTGGCTAGCATAATTCAGTTTGGTGTTAGCACTCCTCAGCTGCAAGATGTCCTAGTGGTAAGAGAATTCCCGAATGTTTTTCCAAAAGAGTTATCAGGATTACTACCAAATAGAGAATTAGAGTTTAGAATTGAACTGGTATCAGGGACACAGTTGACTTCTCATGCCTCTTATAGGATGGCGTCAGCTAAATTAAAGGAATTAAAGATACAATTTCAGGAATTGATTGACAAAGGCTTTATCAGACCGAGTGTATCACTGTGGGGAGCTCTGATTCTATTTGTGAAGAAAAAAGATGGGATAATGAGGCTGTGCATAGATTACAAGCAGCTAAATAAGGTAACTATCAAGAATAAATATCTGCTGCCAAGAATAGATGACTTGTTCGACCAACTCCAAGATGCAGAGGTATTTTCTAAAATAGATTTGAGGTTAAGATACCATCAATTAAAGATTAAATCTCAAGACATACCTAAGACTACCTTCCGAATAAGGTATAAACACTATGAGTCCTTGGTAATGCCATTTAGATTGACAAATGCCCCTGCAGCTTTTATGGATTTAATGAATACGGTTTTCCAACCTTGTTTAGATAAATTTGTGGTGGTTTTTATTGATGATACTTTAATCTATTCTAAGACAGAGGAGGAACATAAAGAGCACTTGAGGACAGTGTTACAGATTTTACGAGAGAAGCAGCTGTATGCCAAATTGAGCAAGAGTGAGTTTTGGATTAATAAGGTGATATTTATAGGGCATATAGCGTCAGCCGAGGGAGTATCAGTTGATCCCCAAAAGATCAAGACCATTGTACGATGGAAATCTCCCGCTAATGCTACCGAGACAATGAGCTTTTTAGGACTGGCTGGATACTATAGAAGGTTTGTAGAAAAGTTTTCCATTTTAGCTTGTCCTGTAACTAAGTTATTACGAAAAAATATTAAGTTTGAATTGACACAAAAGTGTCAACATAATTTTGAACAATTAAAACAGAGACTAACCACTGCTCCAGTGTTGACACTCTTAATTAATGGGAGAAAGTATGTGATTTACAGTGATACCTCGCCGAAGGGTTTAGGCTGTGTACTTATGCAAGATGGCAGAGTTATTGCTTATGCTTCCACTGCAAGAAAATTGATATTTAGCCCCGGTCAAAACTGTGGCTAACATGTACAAAAACCGTGGCTAAAATGAGATTACCACGGTTCATAAAACTGTGGCTAACAAGGGCATCGCAATGTTATTTGCCACAGTTTTATGAACCATGACAACCTTTTTTTTGCCACAGTTAGACCTTAATTTAGCCATGGTTATAACTGTGGCTAATAAAAAAAAAGAAAATAAAATATTGAAAAATATTTGTTAGCCACGGTTATAACCGTGGCTAAATTTTGGTTAATAATAAAAAAATATATAAAATATTAAAAAATAATGGTTAGCCACGGTTATAACCGTGGCTACATTTTGACTTATAATAAAAAAATAAAATATTAAAAAATATTGGTTAGCCACGGTTATAATCGTGGCTAATAATAAAACAAAAAAAATAAAATATTAAAAAATATTGGTTAGCCACATTTATAACCGTGGCTAAATATTGACTAATAATTCAAAAAAAAAGAAAAATGAAATATGCTTTCCTACAACAATTATCACAACAAATGTAGCCCCATTTTGTGTAGTGTAAAATATTTACAACTATCACAAATTCGGAAATAGTTTATGAAATGAATCTACTGATATACCATGTCCATTGGTGGTTGAATAGGTTATCATACTTTCCATGTACCTTGTAATAAGCACATGAATTCTTAGCAAGATTTTTTAAATAAATATTTGGTATGTAAACACTCCAACTACGATTCATTTAGAATGATCCAGCTCTTGCTAGTATGAGTTAACTGCATATACAATCATATGAAAACCCTTACATATGGCATAAAGGAGATGAACATCATAATCAAAATCATTATCATTACTAGAAGAAGCTTGAAGAAGGCTCTAACAAATATTCAGATTCCTAACTCTTGCTTCAGCATGTTATGCCTTTAAGGACTCCAATAATAAATTTAGAAAACATTAAACATGCCAACAAGAACACTTTCCAGTACCATTATGGAACATCTGATTATGTTGCAAAGTGATATCCAAATTCTTCCATTTAGTCTGTTCTTGAAGTTATAAATCCAATTCTCGTAGAGTATTTTGATATATCTAAAAGCTTTTCTGCAACATGAAAAGAAGCATAAGCATAACAAGGACCATTCTAAATAAATTTACACAGAGAGAGAGAGAGAGAGAGAGAGCACTTAGGATTTAGATTCCTTTCTGATACTAATCCTTGTTTTACACCATTAGAAATTAAAATGCAGCACCAAAAAGGCCTCTAAAAAGGAAATGGAAAACAAAAACAGAAAGACAGAAGTCAAAGAACCACTAAAGTAAAAAGTTCACATGTTCCCACGGAAGTCAAAGAACCCACTAGAGAAGTTTAATCCTTCAGCAACCAATTCATAAGGATAGAAACTTGCTCCATCCTTTATTCTTCTTCTTACACACACAATCCAGGTGCTTTAGACAACACTATGCCAAAGATTACATCAATTTTATAGTAATGTTCTGTGACACTATTGAACCACTAGCTAGCTCCAATTCAGGAAATTACATAAAAAGTGCTTTAAAATGCTATTATGAACACTAATCTCTTATCACCGAGTTTGCTTCCCCTTATGTCTGGCAATACAAGAGTTGCTCCAAGATATTTTGCCACCACAACTGCATCAGCAATTTGAAGGTGTAAAATAACGAAGAGATCAATATGAAGTTTGAGATGAAAAAGAAATGGTTAAGGCTTTGGCAAAAGGAAAAACTAGAGAAGTCTAAAGGATCTAGCTCATCCATAGAAAAGAAAAAAATCTGATAGAGTATGATGGGTATCAACTTCTGCATATAATATATCCATGTGGAAAAAAAATTAAAAACTTGGGGGGGGGGGGTGAAAAAGGCAATTCATCTACAAGTATTTATTGGAAAAAGGTCACAAGGGTTTGAGAAGTTGGTACTAACATCCATGTTAACTTTTTTTCTTCTTGGTCTATTCTTATGGAAGGTAATCTTATCCAGCAATGTTGTGAATAGAAACAATTAAGAAATATTTTGATTTCTTAAGAGTGTAATCAACAAAAACAATACGTGCTAACAAAGAAGCACATTCTCAAAACTAAAAACATAAAGTATCAAGACAAGCTGGTTACAATTAAGGAAGCAACTAAAATCCTTGAAAAATACATTAAAAAAATCTCAAATATCTCTGGGTAAATATGCTACTGGTACTACAAAATAAAGATTTTGCTCACTGTAACACCTTTATACAATTTAAAGAGCTCTATTTTATAGTATTCAAATGAGAAACCAGAAATCACTCATTGTTAAGTGCAATGTTCTACTACTCAAGTAGCAACATAACTTGAACAACATGATTATGAGTTGGGAATCTAGCATCCAAAATACCAAAACTTTTAAGAATTTGTTCTATAAACATCTGTCAACAAGTTCTGGACACAATTATAGACATGACCAACAAGCACAAGAGAAAATGGATTTTCTTAAAATAATCTATGCTACTAAGCCATGATTTTTTATTGTAATAAAGGACTTAAATTAGAAGGATACAATGCAACAAGCTTTAGACAATAAGAGACAAAAACTTGTCAAACAAATTAAAGAAACTAAACCAAAAAAAAAACCACACACACACACACACACAAAAGGCAAAGTGAAGAATATATACCTCGATGTTCCCATGCAAAGAAGTAATAACCTGAGAATTCCAAATATGGCATGAATATTAAATCGAACTTGATTTAAATGGAAAACAATATAACGTTAGAAGCTAGCCAATGAAAATTAACATCTTACTCTCTAATGTTTTCAATATTCGGAAGGTTCAGAGAATGACAACATTGCATTAAAGATTTATTGCCCAAGATATGAAGTTTAAAAATTCCAAAGGTGCAATACTTGTAATTTCTCATAAGTAACTTCGTTAAATAGAGTAAAGGCACCACAGATAGCAGAAAATCAAAATAAAATAAGTAAGACAGAATACATACCGGAATAAAAAGACAATGGAGAGCTTCTTGCTCAGCTTTAGTGAATGAACCAAATGCTTTAGAGATGTCCTATTCACATACATGGAACAAATGTAATGGTTATGCAAAAAACTTTTGCAGAACTTTTCTCGAAATAGAAAGAAAAAGAGAAGGTGCTTTCAAAGGCTGCCCAAGCAATTTCAATGCATTCTGGTCAATCCTTTAATTCCTTTCCTTCTAAATAATGTGGAGAGAAAAACCAGCTCGGACTTAATAGCAAAGATAAAATTTTAAATCTAGCATGGATAGGTGCTAAGAAAACTAATTTTTAATATTCCATTTAATTGCAAATATGTCCATAATTAATGGCCACATCTAGGACTCTGCATACTCAAATCCAACTTCAGGGTACACATGCCAATAATAAAAAATCGTGGCTAATCAATGTTTTTTTTGTAGTGATAGCTAGTGGGATATGAAAGAAAACAAAGGACAATAAAAAATTAACTTATTCTCTATGCCTCTGGCATTTTCTAGAACATAAGCAAGTAAAATAAGCATGCCCCACACTATTACTAATGGAGAAAAGGCATGAAGGCCATACAACCCTCTGCAAAATGGTTGAATTTGAATTGGTGAGTTTGTAAGTCGATGTAAAACTCATAGCATGAAGGGGTAGGTTCAACTGTTTAGACTTTAGAGCTTATAGAATGTGAATTCAATGGAGCAACACAGACCAGATTTGCTGGCAAAATTTATCAGGCAACTTTCTGAAGATGAGAAGAACTTAAATGGAATAATAAAAAGAAAACTGCAAATCATTTAATGCTATATGAAGTGCATTATATCTATTTGCTTTAGATAATAATACCATTTCCACGGTAATCAATCAACCTTCAAGCACAGAACGATTCATTCAGATACTTAATACAGTGCTCTGCATCTTCATTTGTTTCCATTGTAACAAATCCAAAGCCATGAGATTCTTTGCAGCAAGGATCAGTAACCAGATGGCATTCAATAACCTACTAAATAACCATATATCATAAAACTTCTGCAATTACTACAAACTGTCAACTTTGTTTTAAATATGTTCAAAAAAATAAAATAAATCATAGGGCAATAATTGATATCTTCATAGAGGTTTCATTCTTTCGGAATAGTAAAGAAATTGAAAAATATCATAAGAGTAAAAGGCTAATAAGCTCCAATCTATATAGCTGAAAATCAATTATTGAATGGCCCAAGTCTCCAATCCGTTGTCTTCCAAATATACATCCACAACTAGGCAATAACTCCCTCACATGATTTTTTTTCCTTTTTTCTTAATTTTTAATTCAGCCATTGCGTGTGGGGTCAACATGATTTTGAACATCTATACTCAAAGCTATGAACAATCACTGCAAACATGTACTTTATATTAAGACATCATTCATCACAGAATAAAGGTATCCTTTCCAAATCTCGATTATCATGTCACCTCTTGTTCTAATAGAGATGTCAATTCAAGGGCCTCTTTGTTATTTTTTTTTTATCACAATTATAAGCTTCTTTACAGTCTGAACTACACATTTCATTGAAGTGTAATCAAGAACTTGAAGAAAAACCAAAAGATCAACTACCCCATGGAAAGCAAAATCCTAGTTATTTCAATACGCAATAAACCTTAGCATAACTTCATCATATTGTGTAACTAACAATGATAAAATATTTCCAACATATAATCTTAAATTTATTTGGAGGGCTGATACCTTTCCTTCACCACTGAAATATTTCTCAAGTTGATTTTCAGTAACCCTTGTGGATAAACCAGTTACATACAAGTTATTTCCAGGATTAGCAGCATCTTCAGACTCACGGCTCCTAGAGCAATGTAAACAGTCATATGCATGAAAAATAATTAATAATACAACTGTACAACAGCATATCCAAATGTTTTATGAATTTTCTAGACGTAGGTCCATTTGATCAATTTTCTACATGTAGGTTCTTTTGATCGAATTTCTTAAGATTTAAGAGTTTTGAGCTCAAATCTAGCTTAGTTCATTCACACCTCAAATAAATTTTATAATTGCTATATGCTACATTAGTGGCTTTAGGAACTTGTCTAATATGCTTTAGGTCTCTTTGTGCAATGTTAATAAATATTTTGCATTGATATCAAGCATTTATGTGGTTTTTATGATCTTGTTTCACTTTTTACATGTTTAGTACCATTCTTAAAATCAATAATGTGAAACACTTAAAGAAGAGTTATTGAATATTTTAGTTTATGTCAAAGAAAATACAGCATTCACTAGAAATAATATAAAACAAAAATATATGTGATCCTCAAGAGAATAAGAAACGTGTATATTGTTTAGATTCTAGGAAATTAGATGTGCAAAGAAAAATTTATGGCTTTAATCACCGTTAATATTATGCTAGAACCATTACAGCCAAAACCATTACGCTGCTAGCTATAAAAAGCTATAAAAAGCATGTTCATTTGGGCCAATTGAACTCCACAAGCAAAATCGAGATTAAAATGCCTCAAAGCTAGAAAAGGCATATTTAAATTGAAGCAAATGAACACAAAAATACATTTATTAGAAACAAACAAAGTAAACCCTCACATCTGGGGGACTCATGTTATTGTTATTTTGCTCTATGTCAAAATTTTGCCCAATAAAGTAGGACTGGGAGGTTGGGAAACGATCTTTTTGAAGCAACAATATAAATCTCATAGTGTAGTCTTGAAATGCAATTTATATAACTTGAGCTTTAAAGTTCCCACTTTATAAACTTAAACCTGATATAATGGCACGGGATATGTTTCTGCCATATGCAACTGGTTTAGAACGCCTGGTTAAATTCCATCTGATGGTACAGGTATGGACTTTTTTATTGTTTTTTGGTTTTGGATTTAGGTTCCTACAATGGCAATTGAAAAGGTTCTCATTTCAAACAATACATCAAAGTGAATGGATGCACCCAATGAAATTCTTTGGCAAACAATTGAATGGATGTATTCAGTTCATTTTCCAGAACACAAAGTACAAAGATATAAATAACATAAACAAATGAAATGGCCATCAGACTTATTAACTACCATATCCTCAAATCCAATAAAGTTGACCTCGTAAAAGGGGATTCTAATAAACACGTAATCCATTCAAGTTGTACCAAATGGCTTTAAAATTCGTGCTGTAACAGATCGTAAGTGAAGGGCAGAAGACAATTTTCAGCATAACCATAAATAAATTATTGAATCCACCAGATAAGAACGGTAAATATTTCACACAATGCTCCATCAACAGAAATCAAATGATAAATGCAGAGAATTGATGGTCAGATTGAAGGGAAAGTAGACCTTTGGAAGAGATCACCTGCTGATGCACTTGATTAGATTAGACGCAGTGTATAACTCGTTAATCGACTCGAATCAATCAAACTTTATCTCACATCCAAACCAATTAACACATAGATGGAGAGAAAATAACTTGGTGATCCTTCGATTCTGTAATTTGGAGAGAGAGTAAATGTAGAGAGCAGAGACCTGATGACTAGAGGCTCACAAGAAGCCCTTGATTTGAGGCAATCGGAGGTCTTCGATCAAAGAGAGAGAGGGAGATAACGAAGGAAGAGGAAAGTAAAAAAGAAGGAAATAATCCTATAAAATGTAAGTAAAAAAAAAAGGAGGGAGATGGGAAATAGTGTGGCATGCTAAATGAAAAATTTTGCCACGGTGCCTTCGCCACAAACTCCAAGCATGGTAGAGTGGTACAGTTTAATGGGATTAGCCACGATTATTGTAATCGTAGTTAAAAAATCGTGGCTAATCAACGATTTTTTTGCAGTGTTCTAGACAGTTAGACCTCATGAACTAAATTATCCTACAAATGACTTAGAACTAGCTGCTGTAGTTTTTGCTTTGAAAATTTGGAGGCATTACCTGTATGGGGAGAAATGTCAGATCTACATAGACCATAAGAGTTTTTTTAAGACGAAGACGGTGGATTGAACTTATTAAAGACTGTGATTGCACCGTCGAATACTACCTAGGGAAAGCAAATGTGGTTGCAGATGCACTTAGTAGAAAATCTTCTAGTGTCATTTTATTTTGTATCAACACAATGTAGCTACCCTTATTAGTGGAGTTAAGATCTTTAAATGCATGATTATTAGTTGGCAGCTGCGGAGCCCTACTAGCAGATTTTCGAGTAAAGCCTACTTTACTAGAATGGATAAAGAAATTGTAATCACAAGATCCTTAGTTAAAGAAGATTTTGGAAGAAATAGGAAATGGAAAGCAAGATGACTACAGAATAAAAGAGGATGGTGTGTTGTTATTTAGGGATTGAATGTGTGTACCCAAGGTTAGAGAACTTATAAGTCACATTTTGGAAGAGGCACACAATTCAGCCTACGCCATGCACCCAGGAGGTACTAAGATGTACTAAAACTTGAAACTGAACTATTGGTGGAGTGGCATGAAAAAGGAAGTGGATAATTATGTATCTAAATGCTTAACATGTCAACAGATCAAGGCTAAGCATCAAGGACCCATTGAAAAATTACAACCATTACCTATCCCTGAATAGAAGTGGGAGCACCTGGCTATGGATTTTGTTATGGGATTACCGACCACAAGAAAAGGAGACGATGCTATTTGGGTTATAATGGATCGGCTAACCAAGTCTGCTTATTTTATCCCTGTCAAGAATTCTTTCTCTTTAGACATTTTAGTTGAATTATACATAGACGAAATTGTTAGCAGAAATGGAGTACTTATATTCATTGTGTCAGATAGGGATCCCAGATTTATCTCTCGATTTTAGCCAAGTCTACAGGAAGCTTTGGGGACCAAGCTTAAGTTTAGTATGATTTTTCATCCTCAGATGAACGAAAAATCAGAACGAACCATTCAAACTTTAGAAGATATGCTTCGTGGTTGTGTACTAGAATTTCTGAGTAGTTGGGACAAACATTTGCCTTTGATGGAGTTTGCTCATAATAATAGTTTCCAGTCCAGTATTGGTATGACTCCTTATGTGGCACTATATGGTAGAAAGTGCAGAACTCCAATCTGTTGGGATGAAGAAAGAGAAAGAAAATTATTGGGGCCTAAAATTGTACAAACCACTGCAAATCAGATTAAATTAATTAGGGACTGATTGAAGACGGCCCAGGACAGACAGAAAAGCTATTTTGACCCTAAATATAGGGATATTCACTTTGAGATTGGAGATAATGTGTTTTTAAAAGTATCTTCATGGAAAGGTATATTAAGATTTGGTAAAAAAGGAAAACTGACCCCGAAATATATTGGATCCTGTGAGGTAACAAAAAGAATTAGGCCAGTTGCTTATATATTAGCATTGCCACCAAAATTGTAGTAAATCCATAATGTTTTTCATGTTTCTCTCCTTAGAAAGTATGTACTAGACCATTCTCATGTCTTGCAAGCCTAACCAGTAGATCTGAAAGAAGATTTGTCTTATGAGGAACATCATGTACAAATCTTGGCTCAAGAAGTGAAACAATTACGGTCTAAAGAAGTCCAATTAGTGAAGGTCTTGTGGAGAGATCAAGATCAAGAAGAGATGATTTGGGGACGGGAGGAAGATATGAGAAAGAAATACCCCCATCTGTTTACTTCATAAGTATAGCTGAATTTCGGGGACGAAATTCTTTAAAGGGGGTAGATTTGTAACATTACAACCTAAAACCCTCATCATGTACTCTATGTTTTACTTTGCATAAGCATGATTAGGGAGGTGATTAATGGCTTAAGCTTAGTTTTAAAAGCCCTTAATCATTGAGGGCAAGAAAGGTGTTTTTGCAATTATAAAAAAAATAATAAAAAAATAATAAAATAATTATACATATATATATATATCTTTCCACACCTAAGGATCAATGGGAAATGCGTGGAAAGCTTAACCAATAGTAATAGTAATAAAATAATAAAAGCATCCGCGTCAATGCACCGCTTCATTTGGGAGGCACCAATTAAACAAATATATATATATATATATTTCATTGCGTAAGTCGAACACGACTTGAGGAAAACAAAAGAAAAGAAAGAGAAGGGAAAGTAAAGAGAAGACGAGAGCTGAGAATCGAACAAAGGTAAAGAAATTTTAATCAAATTTTGAGTAAGTTTTTCAATGAATATTTTTCGTATTTTCAATCTAGTCATATTTTAGTTTTATTTAATCAGTTTAGATTTTAGTTTAAGTGTTGTCTTTGTGGTGAGAGATTGAGGAATAATTTCTACCAGTCCAAATTAAAATTTTATTAATTCATGCTAATTTTGCTGACAAGGTGAATTAGTTAGTTTAATAAAAAAAAAGGCTAAATTGACATTAGAATTTGCCTAAACCCCAACCTAGAAGCTCGCCGACCCATATACGGATTATTTTTCATAAAAAAATAATTATAACTCATTTTGTGAACGTGAGCATACCCTAGTATACCTAGCTTAACGATGAGTATATATTAATATTTTGATAATTTTTGGAATACGTGTGCAGTGGAACTTTTAACCTGAAGTAGAGAGATCGGGAAATGGCTTAGTTATGAATACATCTCACATTTGCACTAGCATATTCATGCATTCATACACAGTTCTGCATATCAGTGATAACATATATGGTTCTATTTTAGAAGAGATATACTGCCCAGTCAGTAGGGCCGACAAGACTGAGTTTGAGCACACACAGTATCCGTAGAGGTGAGTGGTCTTTCTCCTAAACTCAGTATTTTTATAAGACAACAAAACTAATAGTTTTCTTACAAATCAATGTTTTATTTCAAAACCAAATGTTTTACTTTTCCAGAAACACTTTTCAATTTATATGCTATAATTACTTTGCTA